TGGACTACCCAAACTGTCTCGCTGGCTCCTGCGGACCATCAGACTCGGCTATGCGATTCAGTTCATCAGTGAAGGTGGCTGATGCTCCTGTCTTGCGTGCGGAGATCGCAGTCCTACTGGCGAAGGATGCGATAGAGCCAGTCTCTCCAGCAGATATGGAGATGGGGTTTTACAGCCCCTACTACGTTGTACCCAAGAAAGGTGGTGGGTTACGACCGATCTTGGACCTGCGTGTCTTGACCCTTCAAGGGCATGGCCCTTCACCGGTTACCGTTCAAGATGTTGACGCAGGAACACATCTTTGGGTGCATCCGTCCCCGAGATTGGTTTGCAGCGATCGACCTGAAGGACGCGTACTTTCATGTGTCGATCCTTCCACACCACAGACTATTGCTGCGGTTCGCTTTCGAAGGACGAGAATATCAGTACGAGGTCCTGCCCTCCGGGCTGTCCCGAACAGGGCGTTCGCATTCTCAACTACCTCGACATCTGGCTCATACTAGCTCAGTCTCAGGATCAGTTGTGTGCACACAGGGACTTGGTGCTTTCGCACCTCAGCCGGTTGGGCCGTCTCTAAGCAGAGGATGGCCCACTGGATAGTGGGTGCCATCACCCTGGCTTATCAGGCACAGGGTGTGCCCTGCCCATTCAGGATATTTGTAGAGCTGCAGGCTGGGCGACCCCCAAAACGTTCGCTAGATTCTATAGCCTTCGTGTGGAGCCAGTATCCTCCTGTGATCTCATCTCAAATGGGTACAAGAACTGAGAGGCCCCGGCTTCGGGTCGGCTTGCTAAAACCGCTCCAGAGAGTCCATATCGTAGACCCTGTCGAGCTCCTCCATCCCCTTGGCAGCCAGACGTGGCGGAGCGTCCGGTGCCAGGCCCTCACTCGATGAATCCGTGAGAACCGGTAGAGGGCTGGGTTCCATATGTAGAGACCTAAGTGGATCCCATATGTGTAAAGTCCACGGTATAGCCTCAGAGCCTGTGTTTCCCCGGCAGACTTCCTGCTATTTTCCAAAAGGGTTACAATCACCTCTAATCTTCCGTATGCTCCTAGATGGTTGTTCATATGTGTAAATGCTTCCGAAACCTCCTACAGAAAGGATGGGCTTCCGCAAAGCTCCGGTACCAAGTGGAACGGACACGTTTTCCCAGTGTTATCCAGTGTTACTGAGTGGGTAGTGCCATAGCAGCAGTAACTGGTCTTCTTGTGGTAAGCCCCGGCCTACGCCAAAAAAAATAAAAAAGGGGCCCAGGAGGCTTCCACAGGACACTGGAAGGGGCAGTATCCGTGGCACTTTGGTAGGGATCCCAATTCGTCGGTCATCCGACGTGACGTCTCCGTTCCCTCCTTCAGGGAAGGAGGGTTACATATGTAACCGAGACGATTTCTCACTTTTCTAAGCCATTTTTGCAAGGTCAGGATTTTTTTTAAGCAGATCAATGATGAGTACAGCTGTAGATTTTTTTTTCAACAGGGATATTATATTAAACTAAAACCATAAAAAATAACCTGAAATAAAATTTAAAAACTTTTTTTATTTCTCATTTTTTTATTTTAACTTGATGTACTAAAATAACAAAAAAAAAAAAAGTAAAAATGACAAAAACAACAAAATTACTAAAACTTAAATTAAAACGAAAATTAAAAAATTGAAATAAAAAAAAAAATATATATATAAATACAAATATTAACTTTTGACAACCAGAAAGTGTTCAAATATGTTTTAATCTTCTTTTCCAAATGTATATCTATTGTTTTTGCAATCTAACAAACTTTTTTGGAATTATTGGAAGAATGTTTGTATTTAAAAAGTGTTTGTAATTTCTTAAAAACAAATGGCATTACGTTTGATGTTTTCTAATGCAAAGGCAATCACATATCTTTAAGTGTCATTTCAGCATCCAAATACTTTTTGTGGCCATTAAGCAGTATGCAATACATTTCATCAGTGCACAGCGTACGAAATGCACGATCTTCAGCATTCATTTATAACAGCATAGTGGCCGTCAGACTTTAAATTGGACTTTAAATAGGTTTCGTTTTTATACCGGGGTTATTGCTGGCTGAAATGCAATAATGGAGCACATATTCAGGGAGAACATTACCGTATTATAGTATATACAGCATTAACATTGCAAACTGAACGGTCAGCGCTCATGCAGGGTCATTGTGAATGGTTGCATAAAGCAGCGCAGCGGCTGCAGCGCATTCAGTTGCACACCACTGCTTTACGTCAAAGCCTCTTCGCCGTGTGCTCTTAAGTGGTGTTTAATTAGCCTGTAGGGGATCGGACTCCACATTGGGCTCGAGACTCAAAAGCACAGCTGTCCTTGAGGAGGATTCTGTCAGCGCCTGGACTGAGCTTGATTTATGAGCTCTGCCGCTCACCAGATGGTGGACAGAGAGAATATGACACTCCGCTTGCTTAGCGAGTCGCAGTCGCTGGTTAATTACACCTTTATCTCCCGTTAATCTGATTCTGAGCAAAAAAAAAAAAAAAAAGAGGCGGCGCACAGAGTCTAGTACTGCTTTCCATTCCTCTCGGACTGTTGGATTTTCCAACTTCCTACTTGGAAAAGAGCAATGGAATGCAACATCAAGTCAGACGTGCAAATTGGAAATTTGAGCAGAAATTCACACGGAGATGTAAAGGATAATTTCCTAGCCCCACACATGACATGGGGACAAAAGTATGTTTATGGTGGACACAAAATAAAAAATTAGTTCCCTTGTTTTAATTTGCTCCCTCGTTTTAGTTAAATTGTGGCCATGAATTAAGAATTTGTTCCCACGACTTTAATTCATGGCCGTGTTGCTACTAATTTGATGCCTAGTTTAGATTCAATTAATTAAACAATGGAACGAATTAGCACGGCATGGCTACGATTTCTACTAAAATGAGAGACCAAATCAGTACACTGTGACTACGATTTACTAAATGATTAGAACTAGGGAACAAATTAGTAGGCCACAGCGTGATCACGATTTACTAAAACAACTAAAATGTGGGAATTAATTAGTACAACGTAGCCACAATTTACTAAAACAACGAATTAGTACGACATGGCCGTGATTTATTTAAACCTGGGAACGAATTAGTACGAAGTGGCCATGATTTACTAAAACGCCTAAATTGAGAGAATTAATTAGTTCAACGTGGTCACGATTTACTAAATTGGGATAATTAGTACAACAAATTAGTACAACTTGATCACGATTTACTAAAACACCTAAACTGAGAGAACAAGTAGTATGGTGTGACTACGATTTACTAAAACGAGGGAATGAATTAGTACAGTGTGGCCACAATTTACAAAAATAAATAAATAAATAAATAAAAATAAAATAAATAAATGTAATTAATTCTTAATTCGTGGCCACGATATATGTATTTTTCCTGCATGTCATGTCCAGGGCTCTGTAAAAAATGTTTAGCAAATATGCATAAAACACACTGATTGGTCCTGTCTGTTAACTGCACACCTACAGAACAAATGCTAGCATTGCATAGCATCGCAATTTGGTTGCCAGAAGACTGTCGACAAAAAAAAAAAAAAAATGTTTCTTTGTATGTCATTTTCCAATCATAATACATGCAGTAAATGCATGCATTTTTGCAGGAAGTTGGTGATATCACAATATATCCCACAATCGTCTCTGAATGGAACTCAGCATTGCACCAACATGTCGACGTGTACGTAACCGCAGAATACTGAGGGTTTTGGTTATGTTATCGAGGCAGACATGAGCATTACATCATTACTGCAGAATATATCATACATTACAGTCATCAACAGCATGGGGAGAAAAATACAGTACACATTTGAAATGATATTAGGACGCAGGGCCGTTTCTAGCCAATTTGACGTTTATCACAACCCTTCTAAAAGTGCCAGTACGTGCGCTCATTGGCGCCCCTTCAGCTGGTGGCACCCTAGGCGACCGCCTAGCTCGCCTATGCCTAGAAACGGCCCTGTTAGGACGCCTACATGCTAGAGTTTACAATGCAAATGCACTGAGTTCAATGCAGATGGGGCATGACAAAGACAAAGGATGAATGCAATGGTTTGGAAAAGCGATGCTGCACTGTATATTAGTCTAATTTTCACATGCTCAAAATGGATCCGTCTAGCATGTAAGCGTCCTCACATTTCACTGATAGCTCTCTTTTACGGATGAGTCGACTTGGTCAAATTACTTCCACTTTAAAAAAGTTAATCATGGTAAAACAGAGCACAATACTTCAAAAAAAGTGTTTTTTTTCTTTTTGCTGTTCGATGAATTCAGTGATTTTTAGTACAAAATATTTTCACACACATGGCTTGTGATCAGCTCTGACGTTTTTTTTTTCTCACATGGAATTACTATCATATTTATTCAAATACTTATTAACATTGTCATCATCATCATCATCATCATTATAATCATTATTAACACCAAAAAAGTAATAGCAGTTAACCTTGCAGATTAAAATGTACACAGTGCAGGGGGTTAAAACGGGGTTGGTGCAGGAAGTGAGGTCACAAGAGGGACATTTCTAACCGGTACATGCTATCCACAAGCAACAAGAAGCCAATGAACCGTTTCAGGCCAGGAGATGCCAGAAACTTCTGCTGCCTTCAAGTCTTTGTGGAAAGTTCCTACTTACGAGTAGCAACGATGCATTCAAATAAATCTGAAACGTTGCACTCTTATGAGTTGCAATGATGCATTCAAATAATTCTGAAACGTTGCACTCTTATGAGTTGCAATGATGCATTAAAAAAAATCTGAAACGTTGCACTCTTATGAGTTGCAACGATGCATTTAAATAATTCTGAAAAGTTGCACTCTTAAGAGTTGCAATGATGCATTAAAATAATTCTCAAAAGTTGCACTCTTGAGTTGCAATGATGCATTCAAATAATTCTGAAAAGTTGCACTCTCTCAATTTTCTAAATATTTGCACGTTACAAATGAGTTTTAGCGGATGGATGATCTCTACAGCTGTAGTTTATTTTATTAACTAACATTTGACAACCAAAAAGTGTCCAAATACTTTAATTTCCAACACTACATCTATTTTCTATACTTTGCAATGAGTTTGAAAAGTACTTTAAATCATTTCTCTTTAACTTCCTATCAAACACAAGAAAATAACACTAAATGTGTACAAACTAAACTTCTTATAATCAAAACCAATGATTCTCTGCTAATAATGACATTTCGGTTGTAAATCTCGCAAATATGATAATTCCATCATGACTTAAAGGCAGCAATATCCTCCGAGCTGAAAAGCTGAAAAAGAGAGGCTGACGGGAAATGTAGTTTTTGCCACTGGAATGAGGGGCCTCTACTGCATATATATTTACATTGAGTGTGAAGGACCGACGATCTGAGTGATGGACAGACTGAGGACAATATGAGGGCTGGACGTGGGTCAGGCGTTTGCTTTGGGTCGAGAGCCCAAACTAATGCAAACAAAGGGCCGAGATGACACGGCCCTCCTTGCTAGAAAGAAAACATGTGGTTTGACATCATTCATAGTAGCTACGCATGTCAGAATGCACCACCGTTCAGCTCAGATCTCTGCATCGGGATCCGAGGATCAACGGCCGATGGGCCCGCTGGTGAACTGCCACAAACAGCTTCAAGAGGGTCACCCGAAACATCGCAACCTTCATCATCGACACGTCACTTTACAACCAGCATGTCCAGCACGCACATCAAGAGACACCCAACTGGCATTACACTTGTCGTTCACGTCATTTGCATCACATATCAGGTTTGGACGATAAAAGGTGACCATCGTTGGCAACGGGAGGGAGAAGTGAAGTGGTGATATGCGACCGGGCGTGAATGGGAATAGGAAGGAATGACCGAGTGATGTAGCAATGGCTCCTGGATTAATGCATAATTTCATTTTGTTCACAGTGATGGGTTCGTATTTAAAGACTCCTTCCAAAGTGGGAAAGTTTTAGACCTTCATCAGAACAGAGATGGAGAGGCAGAACCACAGACCGACTCCTGATAAACGGCCGTTCAGAGACGCCACTCCACCGTACACGGCCCCGGGCCCTGTAAGAGCAGAGAGAAGCAGACGTGAACAGGTTGAATGAGAGAGAGAGAAAGCTGGTCAACATGGAAACCTTGTGCTAGTTTGCTGCATGAAAAGGCAATATGAAATCATAATAGACTATTAATTTTCGAAATGAGTGCATTTACTGATTGCACTGGTGTTTTTTCATCTTTAACAAAAGACAAAAAAAAAAAAAAACCTTCATTATTAATCAATATTATTTAATTTCATAATATTTTTAATATTATATATTTTTTCAAATATATATATTTTTTATTTCCTCCACTTCTAATGCAACTGTCCTGTTTGGCTGATGTTATTTTATTTATTTATTAATTTTTGAAATTAATTTTGTATTAGAAAATAAGTCAGATTATGCAAGTTAAAAGGATTGTAAACATCGTTTTCATTGACTTTAACCTAATTTGAAGCATTTTCTAAAGGCTAGATAAATCTGTGTATAGTGCATATAAAACTTTTAAAATTAATTATACAAAATAAAAAAAATAAAATCATTTTAATAGAAATTTTTCATAAAAATGAAATTACTTTTTAAATGACTGATTTTTTATTACATTTAAAATGAAAAAATATTATATAACAAATAATATTTAAAAAATGTAACGCAAAAAGTAAAATACATAAAAATAAAAAAAATATAATGCATTTAAAATGTTTTTAATAATTTACTGTATTGCACGAAAAGTAGCTAGAATAAACAGTATGGTTGTTTATATGGTATAATGTATATAAAACAATGTGTTTATATGTTTATATGGTGTAATGTATATAAAATACATTGCATATAAATACAATGTACATAAATTACATATAGCTTATATATATAATTTTTTTTAATTAAATTAATTATATTTTAAATTGTTAATAAAAATAGCTTTTTAAATGACTGATTTGTATTACAATTATTTATATTAAAATGAACAATACGTAAAAAAAATAATAAAACGCAAGAATATTCATTAAAAATCATAAAAAATTATGAATTTAAAATAATTTACTGTATCTTACGCAAAAAGTAGCTAGAATAAACAGTAAGGTTGTTTATATGGTATATTTTGGATTATTTTATTTTGTTTGTTTAATATTCAGTTTAAAATGGTCATTTCATGACAAATCAAATTTTCATTGATCTTTTGAAACTAAAATAACTTGAAGGGTTTTTGAAAACACTCAGCAGTCTTAAAAACTCAAAACTTCATCCCAAGTGAAAAAAATAACATATATTTTGTGGCAAGCCAATGTTGGAAGGAGGAACCCCCGACCAAAGGAGCAGGCCCCGGATAGGAAAAGTCATTAATCATGAGTACTTCCACCTGCTCACCCTTCAGACATGGAACCACCCACAGCTTTAGCCAATGCTGACCTAATGGAGGTCATCATAAAGCTAGGATCTCTGCTTCAGTCTGGGGTTGGTGGCCCCAGGACGAGATGCTGAAACTCTGGATGGCCTAGGGAACAGACCAGCTGAAGCGTAACAAGAGATAACCAGCTAAAGAAGAAAGAGAGTGAATCTGGTCACGTCTTACTTAACGACCTGCCTTTCTTCTGCTCTGTCTTCTCTTTTTAAGGTGGCCCAGTGGTGAAACGAAGGGAACAAAACCGCCAAAGATACCCCAGACCGGAAAGAACCAAAGTTCCAGTTAAAATTTCCTTTTGACCCTCCTATTTTCTTGGTTAAATAAAAATATAATTTTGTTAACTCTGCATCTGCCTCCTTTGTGATTGTGTTTTACGGCAACTTCAACCTCACATCGCCCTAGGACATCACATTTGGTGGAGAATGCGGGCACAGAAGTCAGCGCTTAAGCAGCCACAAAACTAGACCCAGAGAAGGACAGAATGGAAGCTGCCATTAATGCCTTGCTGACCAGTCATGCCAAACAGAGGGAGGAGCTATGTGCCCTTAGGGAGCCAGTTACAACAATGTGTCAAGTCATGCCCAAAACCAGAGCCACCATAGACCCAGGGAGGGTCCTCACTAAGCAGACTCCAGATGATGATGTCGAAGCTTAACTGGAGGTATTTGAGAGAACTGCAGTCAGAGAGAAATTGCCTGAAGAAGACTGGGGTACCTTGTTGGCACCTTTTTTTGACAGAGGAAGCACAAAGAGCCTGTCAAGATCTGCCTGCTAAAGATACAGCTGATTATGTGAAGTTAAAGAAGGCCATCTTGGCCCACTATGGGCATAGCCTCCCCGTTCATGCCCAATGGTTCCATTCATGGACTTTTAATCTGATCCAGCCAGTGAGACCTGCAGACGTAGACTCTGACAGCTATTGGATAACTATCAGGCGACGGTTGAGGTAATGAAAGTGAATTGTCAGGATCTATTGAGAATGGGCCATTCCAGTACCAGAGGGGAAAGAGGAGGGCCACTGAAGAACCAGGCGGACTCTCAGTTGGCAAGGTCAGTAAGACCAGCCCAGGCCCCAAACCCACCTCTCTGGCAGCCCTCCAGCAACCAAAACCCACAAAAGTGTTACTCCTGTGGACAGGAAGGCCACCTCTCCTGGAACTGCCCAGGCAAAGAAGAATCCATGCCCTCAGCAGACTCAGATAATAAGGCATGTCACTATGGGATGACCTGTTGGAAGAGCTACCCCACTGCGCAGGTTGAGATGCTAACCCCCAGAGGAGGATGCATTTTCAAAATTGGGGTGGTTGACAGCCTTACCAGTCCTGTTAGGTAGGGACTGCCCAGTGTATGAGCGTTACTGGCCTCTAGACCCCCGAAAACCCCTCTTCAGCAGAGTAAAGCAAAGCTCCAAGAAATATCAGTCCTTCTGGGCTTTTACAGCACCTTCAAACCAGCAGTCAGGGAGTGAGTCGTGATCCCAGAAAGCACTGTCAACCCTCTACATTGCAAGTAAATCACACGCATATGCGACTAAATCTTCACTCTGGGCGACAAAATGATGTCTAATATTAGCCAATGGCTAATAAATTCTCCGATTTTACTCGCCAGTGTGTGAGTTGGAGGCTAAGTATAAGTTTAGCACAAATATATGCACCTGTATTTAACGTACCGTAAACTCTAGTGTGAAGGCATACAACTCACCGTCGCTTTGCTGAGAGCGCTGTTTCTCACACACATAAAGGGAGAGAGAGAGCGAGAGAGTCTAGCATACCATGCAGACTTGACGCGCTACATGTAAATGTAAATTATATTCTTTGTTGTATTTTCCTGTCAAAATAACAGAGTTCCTTTGGAATTCTTCAGCTTTTAAGAACTGCTGCTTTCTCCGGTAGTAGGCGGAACTAATGTGCAAATGGCAATCTCATTGGCTGGTGCTCACCTATTATCGTCCCTGTTTTGATTTCAGCAAATCAGTTCGAGCGAACGCACACAACCTGATTAATATTCATGAATCCAGCAGCTCATTAATCCTTAGTGCGTTTTATATTGTTCTTATTAGTAGAATTCGTATCATTATTATCTTTTCTGTATTTTTGTTAGTTTTTTCCCATTTCTTTTTACAGAAACACTGAATGACCAAAAAAGCACCACCACCAGTCCGAAGAGTTTTAATTCTAATTACAAAAGTTCTATCATTAAATAATATTGATTATCATATTATAATGCTTGGCTGACTGATGTTAAGAGTGTACTTTCAGATATTTAAAAAACGGTGCCATTTTACAAACATTTGCAAACATATATATATATATATATATATTATTTTTTTTTTTATCAGTCTGGCGAGTAAACTAAAATATTTACTAGCCAATGGCGATTCAATTGCCAAGGTGTCCGTAGAGGGTTGGGTGTAGTAAATGTCCCTTCTGAAAATGAAGCAGGGAATCCCCCTAGAATTCCTTTTAGGGAATCACTCAAACAGTGAAGACTTCCCCCAAGCAAAAATGATGGAAAGGAATTGGTCCGGGCAATTTGGCACAGCTCAGCTACAAGACCCTAACCTCGAACAGGCTTGGAGAAGCATCAAGGTTGTGGATGACCAGTTACTGGAAGGAGGGGATTTAAACTGGAACTTAGGTTTTATCCGGTCTGGGGTATCTTGTTCCCTTCGCACGTTTCACCAATGGGCCACCTTAAAAAGAGAACACAGAGCAGAAGAAATGCAGGTCGTTTAGTAAGACGTGACCAGATTCACTCTCTTTGTTCTTTAGCTGGTTATCTCTTGTTACTCTTCAGATGGTCTGTTCCCTAGGCCATCCAGAGTTTCAGAATCTCGTCCTGGGGCCACCAACCCCAGACTGAAGCAGAGAGCCTAGCTTTATGATGACCTCCATTAGGCCATCATTGGCTAAAGCTGTGGGTGGTTCCATGTCTGGAGGGTGAGCAGGTGGAAGTACTCATGATTGATGACTTTTCCTATCCGGGGCCTGCTCCTTTGGTCGGGGGTTCCTCCTTTCAACGTTGGCTTGCCACAATATGTACAAAATAGCTTATTTGGAAATCCTTGGATATCTGACAATCTGACAGTCAGCATTTACACATCAACAATCAATTTATTGTTCAGAGGAGGAGGAACTAGGATAGATAATATTATTGCTAAAAAGTATCCAAAGACAGACAGTGGTGGGACAGATGTTTATTCTCCTAAGGATGAAGATAAAGGTTGCAGCATGTTTGATGGAAAAGTGTGAGCCAAGGCCAGATGACGGCGTGGTAGCGACATGAACAAGAGAAGATGTATGGAAGTAACGGCAGGTCACTCATCACGGGAAAACTCACGGAGATAATGGGAGACCAAATGAGATGGCGGAGGGAGAGATGGAGGACATGCTTACAATGGTAATGCGTGAGGAGAGGAAACGGCAGGAACAGAGCAGGAATCACTCACTGCGGACTGAAATGTGAAGAATGGAGGGAGAGAAGCCACTGATGCCTTCCTGGGGTAACAGGACACAACGGAGTGGGAACAAACAAGAGGAGAGACTCGCTCCGACATAATGGGCCGGAGAAGAGACAAGAAGGGAGGAACCGAAAGGATGCAAGAAACTGCAGAATTTCAG